CGACCGTGCACAGTTGCACGATCGCAACAAGACAGGGCAATTTAATGCCCTGTCCCACGCAAGACAAAGCATGATCGCGTCAGCGATCGGCTTTTCTCGCTTGACCGGGGGTGCCACGGGATTACGGTTGACCAACCGTATCCCGCGCTGACTTGGAAACAGCGAGCTTCGCGCGAAAGTCACGCTGCTTAGCGTGATCATTTCGACGCAGGTACAAAACGGTAAATACCGTTTTATCAACGGTAAAATCCGTTTTATAACTGGAAAACGGTTCCTCACACGAGTATCCATGATTCCTCATGAGAACTCGCGTAAGTTCATGACGTGAATCAGCAGGGGACTTTGGTTTCAATTCAAGTGGATTACAGTTAATTCTAATGAGGCAGATTGAGCCAAATTCTTTAGCAGTTTCACAACCGTTTTCTATTACAGCAAAGCGAAGGCCTGGATTCCAGTTAAGCAACTGCTTTATGTTTTCCTTTGTGTGTTTAGGACTTTATATAAATGTGTGCTTGTATTTGCTTCAAATGAATCAATGCTATTATGCTTTTCAAGGCTCAGAATTCTACTACTACGTATTGACGAGAGTAGAAACGTAACGTGGTGCTGCCGAAACGCTGCTCGACCAGATTCCTCACTCCACAAATCAAGCAAGGCATAACTACTCACTTTGTATCTGTTATACCCTTGGCTATGAGGTGACAAGCTGTCACACTCGGAGGGTTCAAAGTGAAGTTAAGTGTTGCCAAGTTTGAGTTCGTGGTTCAGTTTTAAACGCTTCCGCATAGTACTTGGAGTTAACATATATTCATATGTATCTATAAATATATTTTATATGTATAGTTGTAACCCCCACTTTCGGATTCGTACGTTTGACCGACATCTACGGTGCCGAGGCTGCCTCGCGTCGCCTTCGGTCTTCCCTTGCCCAACCTGCACCCAACCTCGCGCGCCCGAGGTTCCTACCTAGCTAGGCACTAATACGTACATGAATATTGTATTAATTTAATTACCTATCGTAACATTTGCCTGCAGGAGACCGACGACTACCACATGCCTATTCTCGACAGATGCTTATGGCCACCATCACACCTCGACGCACAGGCGTGGAAGTGTTTGGAACCCAGCCGTATATATTCAACAGATGTTATACAAATAAGAGGAAAGAACCCACCCAACAAGAGCCCACTAGAAGAGGTAACTAGGACAATGGCGATAGATGGGATAGTAGAGGGTACACACAAGAGGTGGCAATACCACTGCGGTGAATCGCAAAATTGGGCAGTTGTTCTCTTCGTCAATTTTCTGCACTATCAGGTTCGAGGAGGAGACAAGCACAATGGTGTAAAGGGTGATTTCGGATGCATGCAAACAGTGCAAATGTGCAAGGTGTGCGCATTTGATAGAGATATATGTAGTATGCATCTGGCGAAAGAGAGTGGGGGAAAGAGAGAGAGCGGGTGAAGAGAGGGAGAGGGGAGAGGGAGAGTGGAGAGAGTGAGGGAGGGAGAGGGAGAGGGAGAAGGAGGGAGGGAGGGAGAGAGAGAGAGAGAGAGAGAGAGAGAGAGAGAGAGAGAGAGAGAGAGAGAGAGAGAGAGAGAGAGAGAGAGAGAGAGAGAGAGAGAATCCCTGTCGAGATGATGCCTTGTTGCTGCTATTAATACGAAGGACCATTCGAGAGAGAATCTTCGTCGAGTGACTGGTAATACTCACTGCGAGTCAAACCGAGAGGGCAAGAGACTGACTTGACATTATTGGGAATCATCTTGGTGCTGCCAATGGGGAAGGGGAGAAGAATAAGAGCAAGATGGGGATGAGCTAGAGCCAGATTCCGCTTCATGAATGATAATAGTTGACACGCGCCGCTATCGTAAGAACAATGGAGCATCAGGGAGCAGGCAGAAGCGATCAGCAGGAAGGAGCAGGGAGCAGCACGCAGTAACAGAGAGAAGAAGAGAGTAGCAGGGGGGAGCAGGGAGCAACGCGAAGCAGCATGGAGCAGCAGGGCTCACGTGGAGTTGGGGAGGCAGAAGAATTTGCGCAGAGGATTGGCTTTGGGCTGGGACAGTTTGGCAACGACGCTGCTGTCGCATTCAACTTCGGAATAGAAGTAAACATCCTTGCATGCGGCGGTCGCACTCGCGTCCATTCTCAAACTGCCCCTGCCCCTGCCACCGCCCGCCTTCTTCGCGGCATTGCCGTTCCGTGGACGGGTGCTCTGCTGCTTCGCTTTTGCGGCGTGCCTGTTGTTAGGCAGCTTGAGGTCCACGCAAAGCACGAGGACACTGAACGTGTAGGACGAGCCGCCGACGATCACCATGGTGGATACTTCTACATCTTCACCATAGTAATAATCTCGATCATCATCGGTGGTGTTATCGGGGATGTCAGGGATGTCATCGGTGGTGTCATCGGTGGTGTCACTTGTTGTGTCATCGGTGGTGTCACCAATGGTGTCTTTAACGGAGTCATTAGAGTTAACCGCGGAAGGATCAGGGTAGTCATTAACGGGGACATTAGCGATGTTATCAGCAGAACTACTAGTGGTAGTGGTGGTAGTGGTACTTGTATCAGAAGTAGATTTGATATGGGACGAAACTTGGTTGAGCAGTGTGTCGCCGGCCGCCATAGACTGGAGGCTGCATGCTGCGATATCAGAACGTGGCGACATGGTCGCGCAGGTGTAGCTAGTATGATCAATCATTATTTTCTGCAGCGCGTTTCGAACGGCTCGACATTTTTTTTTTTGCGGTGCGTACCGATAATAGTGAACGAAATGAAGAGCGCCACAAGAGTCTTGTTATTCGCCATCGTAGTGAGACGGGCACAGTCGGATGCTGGTGTTGCTGATACCGTTCTTCCGACAGAGGGGCTTATAGAAGTGTAAGGTAGGATACTAGAAAACTAGGACCGCGAGGATGAGATTTCAGGGCAATTAGTGGCTACAACGACCAAGGACTAGTGCGACTGGGAGTAGCTGATGATCCAATGGGCGAATTTGTTCCAATTTATCTTCCATTCCATCCCAAGTCCAACATGGCGGCTCGGGATGATATAATAATGGCCCTGTTCGATAGCTAGTCTCCCACCATTGTTGGGATTGGGCTGTCGCACAAAAAGGACAAATTTCAAGGGAAAAACGCGACTGCAATGTAACTATTGGTGCCAGGTCATTGCCTGCAACAGAAATGGCGAGAAGAAGTGAAACATATGAACCTCAACGGTCGATTGAAGTGGAACGAGTTTCCACGGTCTGCGTGCGGAAAATGAGCCGCAAACCGATTTTTTAGCTGAAATTTCTACCGCGTGGTTCATTTCGGTTACAACCCTTGTGATGTGTTTCGAATGGTAATGGCATGCCAGCAACACTGATTTGTACACTTCCGCCGGGCTGCAAAACAATACTTCTAAACCGCATAAAAACCGAATGAAGTGGCTTGGTTGAAAAGCAGGTGTCACAACCATTCCCACACCGTGTGAAGTTTTGCCCCATACACTTGGTAATCATTCATCTGCAGTTACTGTTCGGGCACGCTGTGGAGTCAGGAACCCTGGTCAAACTTCCCGCCTCGTATTCTCGCGTGGGCGCAAAAGTCATCTCATTCCTGGGGGGGGGGTCGTTCGCGTGGGCGGGAAACTTGTGTCATCGCAGGGGGGTCGTTCGCGCTGGCGGGAATTCAACCTCATCGCACGGGGGTCGCAACAGTCGCATGGAGTCGTATACCCTTTCCCGCCCATTTTCTCCTACCGTGGGAGGAATTTTACAGTCCATCCGGGCCCTGGTGGCTTTCGATTCACCAGGTCCCCCTCTTGGTGGGTTTGAGTTTCCACTAGGGCGGCACGCGGATGCAAGGGGTGTCGCGGCCCCCAGCTGCGAAACGCACACGAGCGGGAGTGCCCCGCCTGACTGCAAGTCCCTAGCGAGATATGGGCGGCGGAGTCAGCTGGCGGGGTGGTCCCGCGCCGAGCCCGGGCCACGCCAGCGCCACGCTGCTTGGTCCCACGTCCCGTGCCCCCCCGGGCCCAGCCCTGGTTCTCGAAAACCCTCGATCTCCAATCCGAGGGCGAGGACCGAACCCCGAGCGCGCCGAAACGGACACGTCCAATTGGGGGCCACTTTTGGTTTCGTGTGTTTCGGAGGCCCCTCGCGAGACCCTTCGCTCGCCAATCCGCGCGTGCGAAGCGAACTCCGGGGGGCCCGAAACGGAGCTGGCCAATCGTAGTCGTTTTTAGCGTTGGAATCCTCGCACGAGCCTCGCGAAAACAAAACTTCCCTTTCGCATCCAGCGTGCGTTGGAATTGTCGCACGAGCCTCGCGGAAAGACGCCCCACTCGCTTCCAGGGTGCGACGAGTCACAAGCGCGCGCCGAATTCATTTTTCCCTCGCATGCTCGTTCTCGTTTTCCCACAGTACAGTACGCCATTGCATGTGTTTTAACTGTGTGCGTTGTAATATATTCTTATTGTAGAGTAATATATTCTTACTGTAGAGTGTAGTTTTATTCGGGTGACCAGGTTAGGTGTGTTGGATCGTTACATCGGATTATGGTGGACGCGACGAGGCATTCTCTCCGCGAGTGGTGGTAACCACCCCCCAAATGGTTCTCGCGGATGGAGTGCTACGTGGCGGACGTGGTTACACACACGTGCATGCGGCGGAACCTCCCCCCTTGACATGTCCGAAGCGGTGCGCGGGCTCACATGCACGCGCAGTTAGACCGCGAGTACCCCCTCTTGATGTCCCCTCGTCCACCTCTTAGGTTCCCGATGAGGGTTTCGGGTGCTCATTTTCTTCCTCCATCTTCTCTTCTTCATCTATTTCCATTCTGCTCTCCTGAATTACCCAGCGTTAGTGCAGCGCCTAGAGAAAGCTTCGATCCGTCATGTCCGTGTTCGCGCTGATACTAATTCTGAAGTCGTTCTTGTTGCGAGAACTTCTTGCCGGCTGTTCCTCATAGATACCCCGCCCCTCTACTCGCACTCGATTGGTGGTACCAGTAATGGCTCGCGAATTAAAGGTGCTGAGAGTAGGGTCGAAGGAGGCCGCCTCCTATCCGGCTATCACCTTTGTTGCAGGAGCCACCGTAGAGCTTGCCCCCGACCAGAGGAAGCTACTTGGCGATGAGAATCATCCGTTCACGGCACGATTCTTCGACTTTGTCGCTAGGTGAGATATCGTCGAACCATATCGTAAGTCCTGTAGGCACGCGTAGTTTGTGGTCGCGATGTGTTTTCCATATGCTGATCGCGACATGTCAGCAGTATTGTTGTAACTAATTGGCACCGCTGCTCGCATAGTACGCCCGCGGTGCATTCAACGTTTTAGCTAAGATCACCCCTTACACCTCAGCGCGATTAGCGGGAGGTTTCTGGCTCAGGAGGTGGAGGAGCGCGTTCTCATCGTGACAAGCAACGTTGTCGCGGATATTATCGCGGGTCGCGATGACGCAGTCGACGCCTTTGCCGGTGTGATGGAGTGCAGTACGGTTGCGTTCTGCATCTGGTCTGAGTGAGTATTCACTGTGCGTATTAACATAGGGCTGCACTCATTACATGGATTAACGCGGTCATCACTGCGCCGTGCAGGAACTTGATAAACAAGAAGAGCTCGAACGCGAGCGTGCTATCGTCTCAAAAGTTGGCACAGGGTCAGCCCGTGATCGTTGGTTGTGGGTGGTTTGTTCGTGCAGTTTGTTCCGTCTATGTTGGGTTGTGTGCATGTGCTAATTCTCATGTGCCCTCATGCTTGCACCCTCTCCCCCCGTCACACGCGGTTCGTTCGCGTTGCTATCCCCCCTGGTGGTGCGGAACACATCACCGCGGCGGAAGCGATTGTAGAGTAAGTATCGCGTTAGGTATATGTTAATTACCATGCTCAGTTCCGCTCCATTTATTCACGATAATTGTACGTTCGCGGTGGCTATGTCTGTACAACTGGGCAGGTGGTTTCATGGTCGCGTTGACGCAAATTTCGCGCGTGGATCCATTCAGTGCACCCGGTCCCGCCAGCTTAAGGATCCTACTCGTCTGGTCGATCTGGTATGTCATTGTGTTGTACGCGTTCGTGATGACCGCGAATATTTTCCCCCGTGCTAACACATACATGTTTTTTTTTTTTTTTTTTTTTTTTTTTCAGGACGCGGCGTCAGGGAAGGGCTCTTGCGGCAACCTCGCTTGTCTGTTCGTGTTTGACAAGATCATTACCCAGCTGGACGAGGTGGCTTCCAAAGGATCTGGGCCGCAATACCCGAGGCCTAATGCCAAGATTGTGAATGCACTGTGGCAGGAGGCGTTCCGCACCGCAAAAGAGCTCGCGTTCAACTTGAGCGTGGATATGACGCGTCCCAAGCACGACGGTAAGGCAGTCGGCAATGAAGCGTTGAAGGTGCAGAAGGTGGCAACGGGTTCGCAGATCGCAGATCATGGTGTTCTCGCTCTCACTGGTGGCGCTGAAGCCGCGAACCGCGGAGCTACACAGGAGGGGACGTACCACCCGGCACCTGGGGATGACCGCGTTGAAGATGATGGGGCCGAGGATACCGCGGGTAAGGGTAAACCACAGGATGAAGCTCATCGCACTTGGGGGCGTGTGGGGGAAGAGTCGAGTGAGGAGGAGGCGGAGGCTCTCGAGGTCGCGGCCGTGGCTGCCAGCAGGCCCACAACCTCCGGGAAGAGCATCAGGCGTCTCGCGCAGCAGTTGGCCCCCGGATATGGGAGTGCGGGCCCCAGTGGTGAGGTTGGGAGCGAGAGTCTCGTGCGTGGTTAGCGGGAATTCCAATACCTGGCCACGTTGCCATCGCATAAGCTGGCCGAGGAGATCATGCAACTCGACTGCAAGCTTGCAGCACAGGCGGAACAGATCACACGGCTGAAGAAACGCCCGGAGTCTCGGGTGGGTGGTGTCGCGGTCGTTAGCTACGAGGAGCTCGCGTCCGCCGTTGCTAAGGCGGTTCTGGTCTTAGAGAAGGAGGCGAAGGCGATCGCGGTAAAAAGGGCGGCCCTTTGCGATACGCGGAACTAGGAGGCGTTGGTTCTGGGTCGCATTAATGCGAGGTTGGGACAGCTGCAGGGGGTGGTGGTCGACTCCATGAAAGGCGCTCAGAAGAAGCTGACAGACGAGGTCTCGAGGAAGATCGACAACATGTCGACCGCGGTCTCCGCGACAGCAGAGCGGCCCATCACCACCAGCGGTGTCACAAACGCTCTGCACATGCTCATCACCCTCGTTTCCGGTAGCCCGCCGCCGCGCACGGACACGGAAGTGTTAGAGACTAAGGACGGAGTCTAGGAAGATTAGGGGCCGAAATATCACAAAATCGTTGGACCTAATTTATGGACAGAAATGTCGAGTTCACAAGAAACGACGTCGACAAAAAACGCACCGTTTAAACTTCACCAATTTCGAATATGTTGTAGCCCTAGACATTAGCTACAATTCGCAAGTTGAATCATACCACGAGGTGAACTATAACTGGACTTATAAATTTCGGCGCACTGGGGGGTATGCTGCCATGGAAACTTAACTCAATCATAATTGTCTCCCAAGTTCACACAAGAAGGTTGGAGTAGCAAGAACCAGGTAAGAAGGAAGAGGAGGATGAGAGAGAAGGTCCCAAGAGAGTCTCCAACCAAGGAAACCCCATACCACACAATTTCCCTCCCTATAGGCACCCCAACTTTGACCTTTGTCACTTTCCGAACCCATGCCATCCGCCTCACTCAACTTGGCCACACTTGCCAACCAGGTTTGGCTTCTCCCAACAACTTGGCATCAACTACAGTGATGGGGACGAATTTCTCAACCCCCAAAAGTCTGTACCCCATTTTGAGTCACTTCACAACTCCTCAAAGTCGTCGCATCCCAATCAAAACTTTGAACGAACATAACTTCGTCGTTCTTGCTCCGATCGCGACCATTCTTGGTTCGTCGGAAAGCTCTTGAGCAGATAAGTCACTTCAGATATCTGCCCAGGTCAAATGATATTCACACACACTCAGAAAATCCAAGCCACACAAAACACAATTCTTGCGCACGCTCACACAACGCATGCAATGCACAAACATATGATGGGAGGCAGACAGACGTAAATGCAAATGATAGCATCACATAACAGGAAGAACCAGCCGCGACGGAGAATCCCGAGCCCGGAGATGCCGAGCATGGGAACCGGGCAGCGGGTGCGAAGGCGGAGAACCAGCGGGGGGCGAAGAGGCAAAGAGGTCCTCAGGCAACGGCCGCGGTACGCAACCCGAGCGTGCAGGACATGCTGAAGCAGAAGTGGGGCGCTGCATCGCGGGGTGCAGCACAGCCTGCTCAACCGGGTTCGAGCTCGCGCTCTATCCCCCCTGGAGAATCTGCGCCCAAACCACCAGGCCCTGCGCAGGCAAACACGACAATGACGGCTACTGTGGGCAAGGGCAAGGGGAAGGCGGAGGAGGGGGAGGGGCCGGCTACAACGGGTTCGCAGGCTGCGAGGCGTGAGGTCCAGCCCGCGGCGGCAGCCGCGGCGGAGGTCACGCACACCGCGATCGCCCCCACCCATGATGCCACAACAACATGACATCATGGGCATAGCACGAGCGCCTCTGCAGGTCCGAGCGCGGCCGCGGTCGAGCCCAAGACGGAGAAACGCGGCAAGGCTTCCAAGAAATTGCCCCCTCCACCCGTGTACACCATCGACGAGGACGATGCGGACGACGAGCTGGAGAATCTCGTCAGCAGGTGGGTTGGGGAGGCGGGCGACGGAGGCGGGCAGGGTGGCAAGGCCGCGGTCGAGGTTCATAGCGGCGGGGAGAGGGCGGACGAGTAAGACGGCGACACCGTGGTCGTGCCCGGTGGCGAAACGGGAGGACAGGGTGACACTGGTAGCAAGCTCAGGGGCTGTGGTATACGCGTCCCACCCAGGGGCGGACCAGGCTTGGTTTCCGAACCGCATCTTGGGGGGAAGAAGTGTTAGACTAAGAGGAGGAATGATACGCATTACGAGAAAGTTTTGGTACAAGTGAAAACCCTAAGGGGTTGTACCCCACATTGGCTACCCCACTACAGCCTACAAAAACTAGCATGATATATATAGTTTGACACACCCCCATAGGCAAAGTGGGGAGAATAAGGGGTCACAAGACCAGTCAAGAAAAGCAATGCAAGCTTAGGGTGGATCACAACGTCACCACACACTCCGAGCACAAGCAAGAGGGCCACAAGGCCAGTTCACATGTAGAGGTACATATGCAACAACATCAGTACAGTGATCACTACCTAGCAAGGGCAAACATGCATGTATATATGCATAGATCATAGTACAACCAAAGTCAACAGCAAGTGAGGAAACATAGGCTCTAGGCCTAGAGCAATGCAGAAGCGCTGATGATCACCAGCCGGAAGGGCCTTGGTGAACACATCAGCCGTGTTGGCCCTGGTGGGCACGTGAGCGACACGAAGCTGACCACGCTGCTGCAACTCTCGAGCAAGGAAGTAACGCAGAGCGATATTCTTCGTTCTGTGGTCCTGACACAAGGCAATGGCAGCCTTGTTGTCAACGTACAGAACTAGAGGAGAATGAGGCCTCTATCCCAAGTCGGTCAGCAAGTAGGTGAGCCAGCGTAGCTCCTGTGCAGCCATGGCTGTGGCGTAGATCTCAGCCTCACAACTGGAGCTGAGAACAGACTACGAGCGTGTAGACCGCCAAGAAACAGAGCCAAATCCAAGGCTGAACGTGTAACCCTGTGACGACCGCTGCGTAGCCAGGTCGTCAACCCAAGAAGCGTGTGAGTGCCTAGTGAGGACAACTGGGCTCTGCCCCCCAAGCACGAGCCCCATGCCCGATGTACTGCACAAGTAGCGCAGTACCCTCTTCGCAACATCGAAGTGCACCTTTCGGTGCCTACCAGGAGCCACGTAGCGTGCCAGAAGGCCAAGAGGGTACGCAAGGTCAGGATGAGTGCAGGTCATCAGGTACATGAGGCAGCCCACTAGCTCTGGGTATGGACCACTCGGCTCTACGGACTCGTCCGAAGGTGGAGCTGAGAGCGAGTGACCTGTAGCCAGGGCAGTGGACCAAGTGAAGCCGAAGTGCTAAAGGACCTGCTCCACCATGTGTGACTGAGTCAGTGTGATGGTGCGCTGTGCTCTGTCCCGGGTGATCTGTAGGCCAAGGTAGCTGCTCAGCTCACCCAGGTCTGTGCACGTGTGTCTCTTCTGCAGCTCTGACTTCACAAGGGAGAGAGCCTCAGTGTCAGCAGAGGCAAAGACCAAGTCGTCGACGTACACGAGGATGTAGAACGGCGGCAACGAAGTGTCGATGCGCAGAAACAACGACGGGTCAGCAGTGGAAGGTGCAAACCCAAGAGCCGCAAGTGTCGTCCTCAGTGTGTCGTGCCACGCACGAGGCACCTGACAGAGACTGTAGACTGGCTAGCGGAGGCTCCACTGGGTACCAGGAGGGAATGACACAGTTAAGCCAGGAGGGCGGCGCAGCCAGATCTCCTCGTGCAGACTGCCCTGTAAGAACGCTGTGCTGAAGTCCAGAGAGTGAAGCTCGTAGTCACGCTGAGCGGCAACGTGCAGCAGCACCCAAAGAGTTGTCATCCTCGGGGTAGGGGAGAAGGTCTGGAAGAATTCAACTCCCTGTCGCTGACTGAAGCCTCGTGCAACGTAACGAGCCTTGAAGACAGACGGAGAACCCGGCGACCGCTTCACCCTGAAAATTCACATGCTATCAACTACGTTCGCCCCAAGAGGGGAAACTGTGTCGACGTAAGTGCCTGTGGACTTCCAGGATGCCATCTCTGCGTCCATGGCTGTCTGCCACTGAGAGGATTACTCACCCGTGATCGCCTCAGCATAAGAGCGCGGGGTCGGGATGTCTGGAGCATCCGGGTCTCCCTCAGGGGCAAGCAGCATGGCCACGAGATGAGGCGCAGTGGCTGCAAGACACTCAAAGTCCTCTTGCCTATCCTCAAGGACGTCCGTGCCAAGAGCACACTCACCCCCGACGGACGGAGGACAGACAGACTCAGACTCAGCAACAAGACTAGCAGCGAAGTCTAGACGACAGGCAGTAGCAAAGTCAACAAGTCAGAGACTAAGGGAGACGCAGCAGCAGACTCAAACGACGGGTCAGTGACAACAGTGGCTAGCAGACGCGTGAGACTAGGGTGAGCAACACGAACCAGGTCAGACTCAAGGTCCTGAACGTCAGGCAGAGAAGACGCAGGAGGAGACGGCAGGGGAACACGCTGTGAAACAGAGGAAGGACGAAGTGCCATAGCGTGCGTGCTAGGGACAGGAGGCGGACGCTCACCAGGAACACGACTACCAGCGCGACGCGCGCGAACAGGCGAGGCCGGACGAGACGCAGGCTCACGGCGCTCTGTAAGCGAGTCTGTCTGCACAGTGTAAGGAGAGGGAGCAGGCAGTGGTGCGCCAGGCTGTAACGGGAGGCCAGTAGAAGACGGGAGGCTAAGAACCTGGCAAAGCATGGAGTTAGGCGGTGGAAGAGACGACGGTGACGGCGGAGCAAAAAACTGTCCCGGCGGTGCAGTGCCACCAGCACCAGCAGCTCCAGCACCTCCCGCAACTCCAGAACCTCCAGCTCCAGCGCCTCCAGCATCTCCAGAACCTCCAGCAGCAGCACCTCCAGCTCCAGTGCCTCCAGTAGCAGCACCTCTAGCTCCAGCGCCTCCAGAAGCTCCAGAACCTCCAGCTCCAGTGCCTCCAGCAACAGCACCTCCAGCTCCAGTGCCTCCAATAGCAGCACCTCCAGCTCCAGCGCCACCAGTAGTAGCACCCCCATAACCGGCACCTCTAGCCCCAGGGTCCCCAATGCCAGGGTTGACAGCACCAGCTCCAGGGCCTCCAGCCCCAGTACCTCCAACATCAGCACCCCCAGAGCTGACACCGCCAGCTCCAGGAGCAGTACCAGTCCCAACAGCTCTAGTACCTCCAGTACGAGCACCTCCAAGACTAGAGACACCAGCACTCCCAGCACCTCCACGACAAACAGCTCCAGCAGCACGACTCCTTAGGCGGGTACGCGACGCAAGCCACTCTCGTGCCTGTTGTGGTGAGAGAGGCCGCGTCGGGAAACGAGACCCAGAGGAACGCCAGCAGACTCAGCACCCCCCGACCTGGCACCCTCCGGTGCAGCACCCCCAGGCTCCGCACCCTCCAGCACCTCACGGACAGCCTCAGCACCCCCAGACGCAGCACCCCCAGCAGCACCTCCCGCAGCAGCACCTGAATCGCTAGTGACTTCTACAGGCTCAGCCAAGGGGGGCGGGTCTACCTGAGACACCCCTGAAGGAGCAGGACCCTGAGGGGGGAGGGGGTCTACCGGAGGGGGACCTGGAGCGAGGAAAAGCAGCGGGGGAGGGAGAGGGGCAGTGTGGTAGGGGAAGAGACGGTAGAAAGGAACCGACTCGTCAAAGGTGACGTCCTGAGAGGGGAAGACATGGCGCGAGGTTGGGTGGTAAAACTGCCAGCCATGCGTGTCAGGACAAAGCCAAGGACAACGCAGATAATGGTGCAGGAGGAGATCTTGTCCGCTGACGTATCGCGGACAAGGGCACGAGCACCCCAGACCTGGAAACGTGACGCATCGCCAACCTCCCCCGTCCAACGCAGTGTAGGCAAGGTCTCCGGCAAGGAGACACGGGGCCAGAGGTTGAGCTGATGCACAGTGTACCGGACCGCAAACGGCCACAGAAAATGGGGAGCCGCCGCATGGATCAAGGAGGTACGAGCGACCTCCATGACTAAGCCAATGCGGCGCTCAGCAACCCTATTTTGCTACGGTGAGCCCGGAAGCGTGAACGACTGCTCGATGCCCTCCCCCTGACAGAAGGTCTGCAAGAGGTCAGAGGTGAACTCACCACCTCTGTCAGAGTGCAGACACAGGACAGGAAGGTCCTGGCGGAACCTGCGGCGGAGCTAGAGACGAACTGCTCGGATCCAAGGGATCAGGACAGCAGAAACTTCAACCTTGGTGCGCAAGGGGAAGACCGTTGTGTAACGCGAGTAGTCGTCGACAACCAGCAGGAAGTATCGCTCACCGCCCTATCCACGAACGCGGGCTGGGCCCCACACGTCCAGGTGGAGGGTCTGTAAAGGAGCCTCTGTCAGGGGAAACGAGGAGGAGTGAGGAGCAGCGCGCTGCCGCCCCTCGACGCAAGGAAGGCAGGGCGGCGCAGGTGAGGCAGGGAGGGGAGGGAGAGACCTGGGAAGACCAGACACAAGGAGGCGACGCTGCATGCCACGGAGACGCGCCAAGGAGGGGTGACCCAGGCGGTGGTGCTAGAGAAGAGTCTGGTGCGACTGGGAGCGACACTCACAAAGGGAGGCTACCAGACCTGACGCAGACACCTGACCAACAGCAGCTACCTGAGGAGACACACTCGTCAGTGTGTAAAGACTCGACCCTGGCCGACGGGTGAACGTGGCCAGGTGACGGCGAGTCCTGGAGCACGTACAAATCGCCACACGCTGTCCTCCAGGGGTAAAGGTGTCAACCCAATGATCCTGGAGGACGGCGTTGCTCACCAAGTTCGTCGAGAACGAGGGGAGGTGTAGACCTGACAGTGAGCCAGACGGAACCGCCGGGCACGGAAGCACAGTGGTGGGCCGGGAACTGGAGCCCCTAAGGGGTCAGCCAGAGAGACTGCAACAGGTGCAGGGAGTGGTGTGAGTGCGGTACTGTCACGGAAGAAGCAGCGGGAAGCACCTGAGTCAAGCGTGAAGGTGTGCAAGGCCTCAACAGGTGCAGTACCTGGGAGAGCAGACTCACCAGCACCTAGAGCAGACTCACCAGCA